AGGAGCCTTGTGAGTTAGTGTACCATGCCTCATCTTTGAAATTTTGGCAGGAGGTGTGGGAAAACTTGCTGGGACATCTTCATCACTCCCATCCAGTTCTGAACTTCTTGTCCTGCTCCTGAATCGTGACTCCTGAGAACGGTGTCTTCTGCTGAGCCTGTATTGTCACAAGAGCCTCTAACTGTGTTTGTTGGGTGACAGCCAAGAGAGGATGACAGTCCAAATTATCTCCTAGTGGTGCAGCAACAAAACGGCTAGCACATTTGCAAAGCTAAGCAGGGTCCAATATGATTTCAAATTGGATGAGGAACCACATGTTGAGATTCCTGCATTGCAGCAGGTTGGACTACATGGCCATTGGGATCACTTCCAACTCTACAATTCTATGCTTCTATATTATTTTTAATGCGGATGTTTTGTGCAGGTGTAGTTTTGGGCAAGGCTGGTGCATTAAAAACAAATATATATATGTGCACCGGGAGCATGCCTTCAACAGCCAGAAGAAACAGGCACACTCTTATTGTGTAGGCCACAGAAACAAAACGGTTTCATTGTGCTCAGGTGAGGAAGTCGGAGGTGTGGCAATAGAGAGCACTGAAAGCAGTATAACTGGTCGCCACACATGACAAACCACCCACTGCAAAAAAGTGCCAAGGAACATCCACAGCAGCAGTGATTGTGTATAACAAATGACATATTTTTCCTGTCTGAGGAATGGGAAGAAAATACCGACTGACATTTGGATGAGGGCAGTGATGTGTAGATGATACAAAAATATGCAAACGTGGGATGCATAAAATTCAGTTTCAACTGATTGATCTCTCTCATTCATGCTTTCTCTTTCTCTCTTTCTCTTTTTGTGTGCATATGTATAAGCCAGAAAAGAAAAACATTTTGTATGTTTCTGTTTATTTGATGTTGAAATTTTGATTGATTTATTTTTTAAAAATCAACATTATAAATGACTGGAATAAATTTGATTATTAGTCTTATAAAAGAGGTACAAAATTTGCCTCAAATAGGTGTTTTCAGTCCCATCAGTTTCAGTGGGAGGGTTTTATGTATGGATTATGCCCATTGTGATTTTTTTTTAAAATGAAAGCACCCATTGCCCAAAGCTCTCCATGTACAAAATAAACACATTTAATATCGCATACATACACACAGACATGCTTAAAACTGCATGCTTAAAACCATAAAAATCCCTAGGGATGCATCACCTGAATGCCTGCATATGCTAAATGTTTCATGACCTGAGTCAGGCTTGGAGTCCTCTGAAGAGAATGTCCTTCTGCAGGCTGCTTATGGGATGACATACCGTACCTGTCTTGTTAACACCACACTGCTGTTCCTCCTGTGGTGCGTAAAGTATGGATGGAGGCAATCTCTAAGCTAAATAGATGCAAATTCCAAATCATGCACAGATTAAGCCCAATACCTACTCCTGGTAGTCAATACCCTTTCACTGGCTCAGCATCTGGTTTTCATTATTCCGTGGTACCTCGGGTTACATACGCTTCAGGTTACAGACTCCGCTAACCCAGAAATAGTGCTTCAGGTTAAGAACTTTGCTTCAGGATGAGAACAGAACTCATGCTCCGGCGGCGCGGCGGCAGTGGGAGGCCCCATTAGTTAAAGTGGTGCTTCAGGTTAAGAACAGTTTCAGGTTAAGAACGGACCTCCGGAACGAATTAAGTACTTAAACCACTGTAATGGAAGTTTCAGAAGCCAAATGTGTCACAGTTACACAAACTCTGTCAGCTGGCCAGCCAGGCTGCATTGGGGGGCCCTGCCTGCACTTGGTGAGGCCTTGGACTTCTGCTGCAAAGTACTAAATGGCACCACTGTGTATGTGATGGTAAGGTGAATGGGGCTTCTCAGTACTTACAACTGGGACTCTTGCTTAGTGCCTCGTTCATATGCTAGGCCTGAAGCCAGACCTTTATTTCTTAGTGCTTTTTTACTTCTTGTTGCTAACGGGGGGGGAGGGGGGGCTTTGTTTACCTTTTTTAAAAAAAATATTTGAAGTGACCATGTTTTAAGTTGATGTTAAATTGGTCTGTTCTGTTTCCGACTGCCGCACTATTATTTTAAGCTGCCAGCCTGAAATTTAACTGCCCCTTTGTCTTGTGTCAGTTATGTATACCCATATAATCTGTTGTGGTGAATTTAATTGATTCAACTGTAAACTGTATATTGGTCCAACCCTGTAGGTTTTTTAAAAATTTGATCATCGTCGTCCTAAACTACCTTGAGAAATATTAATTGGAAAGTGGAGTATACAAGTAATAACAACATGGCAGTTTATTTATCTGTCCAGTTTGTAAGACACTGTATGTGTGTGTGTGTGTGTGTGCAAATACCGTTTATTACAGTTGAGCTATTTAGAAAAAGACCAGAACATGATAAAAGTGTAATACAGATAAGTATCCCACCCATACCCAGAATGGAAAGTCATCAGACCTCTTGCCTTGTTAGGTCCAAGTAAGTGAGCATTTACTGCTACTGTTGGGATTTTTTATTTTTTTTTAAGAAGCTTGAAGTCTACAAAATCTATGGCAGAGCTACATAGTGGTGCAGCAAAAATATAAGAATTCAGTGTTTCTCAAACCTTGGCCACCAGCTGCTAGACTATAACTCCCATCATCCATAGCTAGCAGAACCAGTGGTCAGGCATGGTGGGACTTGTAGTCGAACAGCTGAGGACGTAAATCCAAGAAACACTGGTTTGATGGCCACATTCTTCTCACCCACCATGGGAAGGCTACCTCTGTTACCAAAGCCTGGGAGATCTGCAGCTTGCTTCCTGGCCTCCCTAACCAACCTGTTGCAAGACTCTGCAGACTGAATGAAAACTTCAAAACGCAGCAATAAAGAAAAGGAAAGTAAATTTATTGTTTGCTGACAGCAAGCAGTGGATACTCAGAGGATACTTCCAAAAGCTGAGTGCCTTGCCATGGTTGCCCAGAGGCTAATATACTTTATTTTTGGCTGACATACATGAAGCATTACATATTCATTAGCTAATTGTTAAACCACATCCTTCCTCACTCCTTTTAAGGTTAACTTCCCCCTTTTTCACATAAGCTCCATCATTCTTTCATGGCCTTCACTATTGTTCCGAACAGACTTTCTTGGTTCTTCTAAGCAACATTCCACAGATAAGATAAAGGGAGCTTTACCGTCACTGGTTAGTACAAAAAGAGTAAGTCTCGCAACTGTCCATGGCCTGTAGCTGCAATTGAGTACATGACAAACTGTTTCTCACAATATGGGTTTTCTCAGAATCTTGGAGACCACTGCTACAAACCCACTGCAGCAACACGTGTGTGGAATTTGCTGATAGAAGTGGACAGGCCACACGGTATGATTCAAAGTCAGCAGCCATTCTTGGACACAAGACCCTACCCAGTCTGCTCCATCCTCCTGCACACCAGATACACACTTTCCTAGCAGTGCAACTTCATAGAAGCAATGAATTAAAAACAACAACAACCCCGAAAAACAGTTCACCAAGATTGTTTCAGTACCTCAGAAATCAACAAGCACAGAAAAGCTGCAGTTCAGTCTGTGATAGCCCAGGTAGGCAGAACTCTACACACCTTTCCAGACAGTGTTTAATCTAGCCCTGCAGCTCTTAAAACACAGACCCGCAGGTGTTTTGTTCTCTTCCCACCAATTTTTGTTTTGTTCATTTTGTTTTGCTTTGCAACAGTAAAAAAAACAACAGCTGAAACAAATCGTTTTCGTTATTCCATTGAAAACCAGTACTCCATTCTTGTTCTTGGTCCACAGCCATCAGAACACTCTGTCGAACTCTGTCTGATTGGTCGCCACTGGATTCCTGCCCAAATTGGCAAGTTGCTGTGGCACATGTCCACCCCTCCTCCTGGGAGGAGCCAGGTACTCGAACATGGATTGGTTCTGGGTGGAGAGCATGTTTTTGAGATCAGAAGGCATAGGGTCGGATCAGAAGAAGTCGTGATTCAGGGCGTCATCGCTATCTATCCTTTGGGCAGGATCCAGGACCAGCAGCTTGTCTATGAGATCCAGAGCATATGGGTCTTTGACGTACACCTTTAGCCTCTCCTTCACCTTGTGCTTTTGCCCTTTCGGCAAGTCCACCTTCTCATACAGTTTGTACTTATCCATGCTTGGCCATACCTCCGGGGTGATGCATCTACAAAGCTGGCTGATGAGAGTGAGCTGGTGCTGTTCTGTGTTTCCCTGCATGATGGGGCTTTGGGTCCACAACTCTGCCATTATGCATCCTGCGCCCCAGACGTCAATGGGTGGTCCATAATCTCGTTCCCCCAAAAGCAGCTTCGGAGGACGATACCACAAAGTCACCACCCTGCTAGTGTAGCGATTGGGCTGGCCAAAGTTGGCCAGCTTCAGAACACCATCGCGGGTGATAAGCACGTTGGCTGCTTTCATGTCCCGATGCAAGATCTTATTCCGGTGGATGTAGTACAGGCCGTTCAGGAGCAATTGCATGACTTCCTTGATCTCCGAAAGTGTAAACTTGACATGGGCATTGCTAAGGAGTCCAACCAGGTCATGCTCGCAGAAGTCAAATACCAGGTAGATGCTGCCCTTGCAGCAGTTGTACGGAGAGGCTTTGGTCCTGCAGATCTCAATGAGATTCACAATGTTTTCATGCTTGAGTAGCTGGAGGATTTTGATCTCCCGTAGGGCTGTGATGGGGAACCCGTCCTTTTCATTCTACATCAACACTTTTTTCAATGCAATTTTGACTGTTTGACGATGTTTTGCTTTGAAGACCTCCCCGAAGGTGCCTTGCCCAATCATGGCCAACTTCTCGTACTTGGAGACCTTGTCGCAGTAGAGACATTCCACCGTGTTGCACTGCTAGGCCATGGTGGAGCCGGTGCCCCTGATCTCTTCTGGCTGCCACCGGTCTCCATCTGAGGGGCGCAGCGGCATGTTTCCTGGAGCGCTTTCACCCAGCCGCTCCATTTCTTTGCAGTTCCTCTCATCCCGCCGCCACCGACGCCACTTCCAGGACGCGGGCTGTAAGACAGTTTATTTATCTGTCCAGTTTATAGACGTTTATGTGATTCCAGGTCAGTTTCCAACAATGCACCGAATACAATAATGCAAAAAAAGTGACAGTTGTTTAATGCAGCCCAGTTAATAAGAACAAGCAATAAGCAACAGCATGAGAACTGTATAAATCAGAGTGGTTATTAGTTTAATAACAACAACAACAACAACAACAATAATAATAATACTGCCAGGACAGATGTTAGTGCAGCAAGCTTTGACTGCATAACTATCCGCTCATCTGAACAGCCTACTTATGTAGTAGTAATGTGCTTTGCTCCCTCTCTTTTTGAACAGGAAAATGGCAAGCTGCCACTTTTTCTAATTGCAGGCAGGGATCTTCGTTCCCTTGCATGCGTCACTCTTCTGAGCCACTTTGTGTGTGAGGAGCTAGCTGGCTGGAGTGCTACCTGCACCAAGTCCCTAGGCAACAGTTCCCTGGCCATTGCACTGGTTGTTTATTAAGAGGGGTTATTACAGACTGACAACCTCACTTGAAGCCTACTTAAGTGCACAGAGGCTTTTACCTCACACTCTAAACATGTAACTTCTGTTGAGTCATGCTACTGAAAGGTTGGAAGGTAATTTCCAACAGGGTTTATTACAAAATGATAACTTACGTAAGAGATGCCCCTATTATGCTGAAGATAAATGGGTGGCGGGAGATGAACATGTTGGCAATTCTCTGTTGACATTAATATAGACTCTCCAAGTGTCCCTATTTTCCAGGCACAGCCCTGGATTTACAGAAGCTGTCTCAGCTTTTCATTTTATCCTGGAATGTCCTGTTTTCCCTTAGGACATCCCTATTTTAATTGGTGAAATGTTGGAGGGTATGGTAGGCTATTCCTATTGTGTGGCGAGTTCCCGCCTCCCCCCGAGGAAATAAAGACACAGGACACAAGAATTCAGGTTAGTGGGTCAAATTAGGCCACAACTTTATTGATTACAGGAATTGAGCAGTATTGGCTTAGGCATTGGTCCTAACTACTAACCGGCTAGAGGCCAGAAGGGTTAATCACCTGAGGGAGGAGTCCTGCTGAGGCACGTCAACTAGGACCTCCCCCGGGCATCACCGCGTGGGGGCGTGCCGTGGGCCCACACCTCCTTAGGCTTAGGACAAGGCCACGCCCCCCGGAATCCTTTACCGGACTACCCTTGCTTGGGGGAAGGTGATGGTGCTCCTTCCCCCTTCATTTGCATAACAATAGGACAGTACCCCTACCAATGCCTAACCGCCAATACCGAGGAGTTGTGACGGTTTGCTACGAGGTAGGCGAAAACCAAATGGCTGGAGCCAATCTGCCATTTGGGAAAATTCCTACCACGCCCCTTGACGGCAACCAACCGGAGTTCATAGCAACGTCAGAGAACCTATCCTAAAAAGGGGTGGGATGAGCGGGAAAACCGGGTCAGCTGTAGCAGCGGAGGAAAAGAGGAGGAGCCTCGGCTGCGGCAGGTTTAAATAGCCGAGGCCCCGCCCCCGTAGCCAGCCGATTGGCTGGCCCGGGGTATGACATGGGCGGGGATTCCCTTAGGTATCGCAGGGGCTGGAGCCAGCCCCCGCAAATGTGGGGAAGGGGAGTGACGCCCGCAACCCCACTTCCTTGTTTATTGTGGAAGTGGCTTTTTCATTGGAGAAACAATGGAAGGTATGGAGTTATGCAACCCCTGGGCCGAGGAGACAAGTAGCTATAAAATCTTTAGAAGACATCTGAAGGCAGTCCTTTACAAGGAATTGTTTTCATGTTTAATGTTTTATTATATTTATATATATGTTGGGAACACATTATTATTATTATTACTATTACTGTTATTGTTGAATAGGATGCCCCTATTTTCATCAGAGAAATGTAGGCGGGTATGTTAATATAGTTTATAGCATCTTGGCAAATCAAACACATCTAGCCCCACCCTGCTCATTTGCCTACCCAGTTGGGAAACGAGAAGGGGTTGGCTGGGTGTGGGGGAAGAGGGTTGGCAAAGGGATTGGTGGGTTGGTGAATAGAGCAAGCCGGGTTGGCAGCCCCTAGTAATATTATTCGTGTGTGTGTGTGTGTGTGTGTAGACTGTGCAAGAATTGTTTGTGTTTTTAATAGAACCAGTAAACTTCTCATTGAGAACGAGTGAGGCAGGAATTAGGGGGGAAAATATTGCGGATAAACTTGACATTGAGATTTTCAGATAATTCCATCCTTAGTTTGGTGGCAGCAGGGAATTTTCAAGCAGCTCTTTAGCATAGGTGCTGCTGCTGGGTAAGTGCAGGGCATGTGAAACCAAATTATAATTCCTAGGAGGAGCAATTCAACAGAATGCTTGCCCAGCCCTTTGGATGGTAGTGACGGTGCACTGTGGACATTGTGAGGGGTTATTATTTGTTGCCATAAAACAGGGCTGGCTGGCTTCTTTCTCATCTGAGGATGTGCAAGAGAGATGCCAGTGTCAGTGTCAGCCACATTAAGTATGTTTATAACCTGCTTTGTGCAAGCACACGTGTCACCTAAGTCCAAGGCCTGCTGTCCTGCACACTAACAATCCATGCACGTTGATTTTATAGGCACAGCGAAACTATAATCCAATCTCTCCTAAATTCGAAAGGTTTCTTCTGTGGCTCCTCTTCCATGTCTGCCTGTCAATCAATCAATCAATCAATCAATCAGTCAATGACATTGCAGCGCCATAGACTTTAGCATGAAGTGCAATCCTATGCATGTTTACTCCTAATGGGATTTAATAGGCCTGGCACCAGCCTCTGGCATGCATTGCAAAGCAAACAATGGATTCCCTGGGAGGGCTTAATGACACAGCTAAGCCCACAGCGGATGCTCCGGTTTGGTGGCTGTGCTGAGTGGAGTTCTGGGTCTGCTTTGCATATGTGCAGTGGCTGGTGCTGCCCTGCTAATGATGCTGGCACTGCCCCGACCTGCACATCTCCGCACAGGGCCAGCCACAGGGTGGCATTGGCTAGTTCAGGTGCACCAAGTGGATCCACAGCTCTCCTCAGCACAGCTACATCCAAATTGCCCCCTAGTCAGTCATTGCTGGACAGCCAGCTCAACTGAAGTGGCATGGTGGGCTGCCCTGACCCAACTTGTAGACTAATGAGTGACAGTGGATGTAGGGTAATGATTGCTAGACCCAACATCACATGCACACCAACCTTTCTCCGATGAAAATAGGGACATCCTATTCCATAACAATAATAATTCTTATTTTATTATTTGTACCCCGCCCATCTGACTCAGCTGCCAGAGCCACTCTGGGTGGCTTCCAACATAAGGGCTTCCTTCAGGTGTCTTCTAAAGGTTGCAAGTTACTTACCTCCTGGGCTCTGGGGTTGCATAATTCCATACCCTCCAACATTTCTCCGATGAAAATAGGGATGTCCAAAGGATAAGCGGGACATTTGGGGATCAAATCAGAAACCAGGACGGCTTCTCTAAATCCGGGACTGTCCCTGAAAAATAGGGACACTTGAAGGGTCTGCACATAAACTCCCCATAAACAAATCCAACTGAATGCTAGATAAATAGGTGATGTCATCTAATCTTCCTGTAAACTTTGTGCCAACAAACCAGGAGGAATGTTCAATGAAAGGTTGCACCAAAAGTGAGCTCAGACTGGAAGTATGCAGAGGAGCTGCATCCAAATTAGGGCTAGCTAACCGTTTTTGATCTGAGGCCTACATTGTCCCCTGGCCATCTCCCTGGGGACTGCATGCCAAAGTGGGTGTGGCAGAAGCGCACAAAGAGGGTATTGCCAGACATATATTTAATAATTCAGCATCATTTCATTAAATTTAATTCATTAACTCTTAAATAATTTGGGAACTCTTGTTTTTGTTATATAAGCAGCGTCAATGTCCTCAAATCGCAAAACAATGGATAATTAATTTCCTGATTCCAGTCTTGATCAAACAAGTACTTGACATATGTAGGGTGCTCAGCAAGCACTTAGCTCAGAAAAGTGGCTTTGTGAAACTTCTGGCATGGCAGAACAGTGGCTGCTTTAATGTGCAATCTCTGCTGGGACTAGCCAGCTGCTGCCGATCATTCAGTGAGCAGACAAGGCTTCCCAGAAGTGCTCAAAGATGACTGAGCATTGCAAAAGTGATCATGAATGAGGAAGTGGCAGGTAGCTTACTGGGTACGGTTCTGCTGCTGTTGACAATGGCTGGAGAGGGAGCATGACACCACCACCCGAGATAAAAAAATATCACACTGCAGTACAGTCATACCTCGGGTTACAGACACTTCAGGTTGCATTTTTTCAGGTTACGGACGCTCCGAAACCCGGAAGTACCGGAATGGGTTACTTCTGGGTTTTGGAGGTTGCGCATGCGCAGAAGCGCCAAATCACAACCTGCGCATGCGCAGACGCGCCGCTGTGGGTTGCAAATGTGCATCCCGCACGGATCACGTTCACAACCCGAGCGTCCACTGTATATATTTTTTAAATGTTGAGGGAACTTGGGGATCATTAAAAATAATTGGGGTCTGGGGTCCATGTATCAAGTGAATGGAAGCCTTTTATCATATGTGCTAGTCGTGAGGAGCTCAGGCTTGGTATGGGAAATGGCGTGATACAATCATATCCCTATGTTTTTGTGAAATGTTGGAAATGCAATTTCCAGTCACAGCCTGCAAAGTGTCAAACGTGGGCACTTCACCACTTGGGTAGAGTTGCACACCAAAATTGCATATTAGAATAAATTTGTACTTAAAGGCTGATGCATTTTCTGGAGTGTGTGTATAACAAACTAATGCAGATATGCGGAGAACCTTAACTTCCTTTGGGAAATGAATGGTAAAATCTGGGGAAAGTTGCATATCTCTGATTTCCTTTTCCCTCACCTGCAGTATAAAGGTTCTTTGGCTAGGCTTAGCCTACTGGCAAATTAGATGGATGTCATTAAGTCTGGCTTGCTGTTTCC